TAGACAGTGTAATAAAATTATTAAAATATTCTGAAGGAAGAAGACACAACCAAAAATATTCAGGATACTTGCTACTCTTACCAATTGCATCCATATTTGCTTCTGTGTCTCACACTGTGTTTTCTTAATGAATTTGCTAGAAATTGAGTTAGTTGGAACATGATTAAACCCACCCTAATAAGTGAGTGTACACTTTCCTCCCTATTCTATGTGCCATCCTGGTACTGCCCTTTAGATGAGGTATTACGTAACCTAAAGAATAGAAAATGCGCCAAAGGAACCCAGGACCCAGGTAGCTGGCAGCATGCAGTCGTCTGCCTGCTCTCCAGGGCAGGAAGCTGGGGACGGAGGACCTGGAGTGCCTGTCCTTAGGGGGCGCAAAGGGTCTCGGAGTGGTTGTGCGGGGGAGGCCACCTCACCTGGAGGTCCCCAGCGGGAGTCTTGCAGGGAGCACCCAGGGAAGCTCTCTGAGTGAAGCTGCCCGGGAGGCCGCTGAGTGAGCTTTGAGCCTCCAGAGAGCGTCCCGGGTCCTGGATGGCGCTGGAGAGCGCTCTGTCCACGCTGCAACTGAGCAGAGCGAGGGGACGTGTGTGTCGCCGCCAGAGTGAGTCGTTCACCTCAGAGAGCCTTCCGACAGCGATCATGCTTGGGGCCAACAGAAGCTGCGCTCACCGGATGGACACGCGCCAGCCACAGCAGGCGCTCCGCTCCTCTCTCGTGTTCCTCGCGACACCTTCCTTTCTCATTTGTCTTACTCCTGCATGTAATCATTTTAAATGGAATGTTATGAAATAAATAACTAAATGCCAACCGTATTTATTCTCTTTATATCCTGGCCAATATTTTGGCTGTTTTTCAGTAAAATCGGAATTTTGAAAATTAAATAAAGGTTTCTAAAATACCAAGTTTAGAAAGTTTTATTTAATTTGTGAAACAATTCTCTCTCTCCCTCTTCTCTCTGCAATAAGGTCTTTATTAATTTAGTCTAGTTACTTAGTGCTTATATTAAATAATCTAATAAAAGTCAGGGTTGCAACATAACGCTTCCCAAATGTGAAGCAGCATCTATTACATGAGACAAAAATCTTTATGCTGCAGAACGCAAAAACCGTGTATAGAATTACAGGACACCAAATGGTGCTGTGCATGTTTCTCAGTAGAAGGCTTGTGTTCTGCAAGGGCGCAAAGTCTGAGTATAGCTGGATGTTGCTGTCATTAATTCAGAAACTACTTTAAAGTAATTTAAGTTTTAAATGCTGATACTCATCTAATGATAATTTTTTTTAGAGAGAGACAGATACGACTTAAAACTAAGAGTCTGTGTTCTTGAAGAGTTACAAATCCCGTGGTTTGTCAGTGATACCTGACTTGTTACACAGTAGAGCGGTTGTCATCTGCGGTGGGGAATGGTGCAGAGTGTGTGTGTGTGTGTGTGTGTGTGTGTGTGTGTGTGTTGGCTTTTAGATGAATTTATATAACAATATAGCTTGAACATCTATTCAGAATTGTTGAATTATTTATTTTTGTCTGGCATTGTCTTTTGTCTAGTTATAAGTACAGGATTAAGTGCATTGTAGGCTCCAGACAAATGTATTCTGAGGGCTCCTTAGTTTGTGTAGATTATAAAGGCCCTCGAATAAAGTAGAGCGTCTGGAGAGTGCTGCTTGGTCTCACATTTGCTCCGACTGCAGTGCAAGCCGCTGGAAACACGCGGCACCTTTCACATCCAAGGAGAGGGTCTGCTTTAGCACGGGCACTGCCGAGCTCTGCGTTGAAGAGGAGAACATACGCACTTCAGAAGCCGTTTCTGCTTTGCCTTTTTTTCTTCTTCCTGTTGCAGAGTTATTCCCACCACAGGGTTAGCAATAATAACTACAATTTATGCCATTTGCTGCTGCAATTTGGTGATATACCACAGTCAGGCCACAGGTTAGAAACACAGGCTGAGTTATTATATACTGCTGGGTAGTGATTTCCCGTGAGCTGATTTATGGATAAATAATTCCATGTTCTTATTATATAGGACAGACAGTTTTTAATTCCTTTAACAAAGCATGATCCAATAACAGAAAATTATATGCCCCGGCAGGGGGCTGTGGCTGTGGGAGGGGGAGAACCAGCGCCATCAGTGTCTGGGCCTCCTGCGCCGTGGGGAGCCCGGCCGGCGGTTGGGGACCCAGGCCTAGGCCCAGGGTGAGCTAGCCCGAGCCGTTCGCTGGCACTTTTCTCAGAGGTCTTTTCGGGGACCTGTGAGACGTGTGTACGCACCCTGCCTGCAGGCAGTGAAGCTGATGGCTCATTTTTTTCGAGCCTGAGTCTTAACTGTATTTTTAAAATAACATAAAAATGCACCTGGAATAAAGGGAAATTACCTGTCAAGCTGCATTAGGAGAGGCTCACTGCGGAGCCCTTGAGCTCCTGCCCGCTCGCCTTGCAGATGGCTTTGCGGGCTCTCCCTGGCCACATGCACCCGCGCGTGCTGCATTCAGCTCCTGCCGCTGTGTGCCTGGAGGGCTGCGCCTCGGCCCTACTGGGCCTGCGCAGGCCAAGAGGAAGGAAATGTTGCTGATACTTGATGTCTAGGAGGTGAAAGCTCTCATCATGAGTTGCGTTTGGAGTGGTTTAATTCAGCTGTGCCCAGGTGTGGGTACCCTAACAGTGGTTACCCTTGGGTGTCTGTGAGGGGGCCTGCAGACGGCAAGAAGAGTTGGTGGGGTGGTGAGTGATCCGTGCTCAGTCCCTCCCTTCTGAAGTTCCACTGATTTCTCGCAGACCCTTTATTTTATTTCACAAATAACTGACTCCAAAATGGTAAATCAAATTTGGTCAACTGTCCTGTGTAGTATTATGGCTCCTACTTTTTATGTTAGAGGCAGATAATGCCAGTGATGTGAATTATGTTGAGAAGCAATTAAAAGTGGTAAGAATACTAATAAGATAGGAACACAAGCCACTGTTGATACTTCCTTTTGTGAAATGTCAACTCTTTGACTTTGGCAGAATATTGCGTTGAGAAAGTATAAAAACCGGTTTCCATTATTGTATCTTTTTAATTTTAGACAAAAATTACTTCCATTCCCAACTTGATTTTATGTCACTAATGGGAAATTTACCTACAATTGCATTTTGTTATTTGGTCTGAATGCATTACGCAGAGTGGATTGGTACTCTGTATTTTAGGATGAACAGATTTGTCTGGATATAAACAGTTTTATTTATATTGTGCTCAATTCAATCATGTTAACATTTGTATGAATTTCAACTCCAAAATAAAGGCCCATAATTTGTGACTCGAGGACCTTGAAACTGCGTCTGTAATCGTCTTCAACACCAGGCATTTTCTAACTGCTTGCAGATGACGGATTCCGTGGCAGGGTGTAAGGATGATCTGGGAGGCAGTGCTCCTGTCTGAGAGGGTGCTTGTGGAAGGCGGCACCTTCCCTGGGGAGTCCCAGGCACAGCTGGCGCTTTGGTCGTGGGGCTCATTGCCTGTCCTGAGTGTCCTCTCTTGTCCCTTTGCTTGACATTGAGTGCCAAGGCCTGAAGTGGGTGACAGAGAACTGAGGCCCAACTCTCTGGACACCGCCCTGCAGTCTGCATGCATGGCTGGCACGTGAACATATGCGTGGCTGAGAAGGGAGGAGTTGGTCTGGCAGCTCACAGACCTGCAGGAGGGCCCCAGCGGGTCTGGCTCTGGTGGCCACCATCAGAGGTTCTCAGTGTGCCACTGCCCTTCACCTCAGCTCACTTCCTGGTGCTGTGCCACACCCCTGGGCTGCACGAGGGCAATCCCTCAAAGTTCTCAGAGCACTCTGTGACCCGGAAAGTACCATGACAGGATGTCAGGGTGGGATAGGCTCCTTGGCCACAGCCCGAGTGAGCACTGCCCCAGGACAGCCCTGAGAGAAAGCAGCAGGTCAGGTCTTGGTCGGGGCTGGAAGGGCTGACTCCGTGGAACGTAGAGACGTCGGGGCACGAGAGTGACGTGTTCAGAGGAGAAGCGGACTTGCATGCAGTGAGGCGCTCTTGTGCACCACGCACGCCTGGGTGACACGTGGAAAGGCCTGGGACACAGCTGCATCAGCTGTCGGCAGTGCAGGTTAGGGTCACAGAACTGCTCCGAAATGTCTGTCTGATGTAGCACCATCATTGTGACTGAGAGCCTTCTGCACATCAGGCTTGGTTCCCCTTGGGAACAGGGCAGTCTTCTGGGAAGGACATTGGGTGGGCATCGTTGAGAATCTGGGGGGGACAGGGGTGCCTCTGTGGTGCTGTCCACTGGAACCTCTTTATAAAGGGAGGGATGTGAAGCAGAGGAGATGAGCGGGAGGGGAGAGGCTGGGCACCAGTGACCTAAAGCCCTCCTTTGCGATTCTGAATGGAGAGGGCCTTTGTAGGCACGCTAGAGAATTAAAGACCAACAGGTAGTAAAAGCATAAAAAATTCCCTAGTCAATATTTTTTGAGAGAAGTGAGTTCCATGTTCTCTTTAAGAAGAATTCTGGAGGCTGTGATGACGGCAGAGCCGTGGCGAGCCGGTCACTGCCGCGTTCTGCGCGGGGCGCGGCAGTGTACGTGCGCAGGGTGCCTGTGCACACCATGACTGTGCACACTGCGCTCTGCTGCCCCCCACCCGAGCTGGAGACCAAGGTGGAGAAGTCCACCCCTTGACGGGAAGGGCAGAGCGGCAGATGGACTGGGCCTCCGTTGCTGCCCGCCATCAACACGGGGTCCTGCCTCCTGGTGTGATTCTCCTAAGCAGCATTTGACTGCTGCTGAGTTCTGTTTTTTGTCCTTTTGACCTGGGAAGGCCCTTTGGAGGGTGTGTGGTAAGGAGGATGGCCCTGTTTAAGGGGGAACTTGCTGGCCCCAGGGCCTCTCTCTCCCCCACCCGGCTGGGAGCACAGAGCCCCGCGCCCCAGCCTGCGGATCCCCTACATGGCTGGGCTGAGCGGGCCTCCACCGGGACTTCCAGGCCGGGCAGGCTAAGGAGGGGCTGCCATGCAAGCGGCCCGCCTCCACACCCCCTTGCCTGAGAAAATAGCATCAGCGGCCGTCTTCCAAGACGTGGCAGCCGTGCCCGAGCGGCTGCTCCGTGAGGAGGTATTGAGTGTGGGGAGACACCTGTGTGTGTCTAATTGCAGCCCAAACAACATCCTCTTGGCTCCCCAAGGTGGGCAGAGAATGCCCATGTGGAGATCCCTACCTGCAGGGGAGAAGTTTGTCTGTCATTTCCTGTACAGATGCCTCCTGTCCACTTTTTTTTTTTTTTAAATGAAAGTGTAATTCACACATAGGTGTGTGCATGCTGAATGTGTGGTGTGATGAGGTTGGTCAGCTTTAATGCCCATATAGCCACCAGAGAGTCTCTGTGTGACCGTGGCAGTTCAGCGCCTTGCTGCACTCTGGCTTGATCCATCCCTGTGGGTCTGTGGCCTTACCTGAGCTTGGGTGTGGTGGGCTGGAGCCTCAAGACTGTGCCTTAGAACTGTGGCCACCCTGCTGCCGGCCTGGCCTTAGTGTCCATGCTCCACGGGTGTGGGTGTCCTCCTGGCCATCGCCTGTGTGTCCTCGTGGACAAGATGGCCCACAGACCTGCCTGTGCTTGCCCATGGGAGGGCACCGCGCCAACCCCACTTCCTCTTACAGTAAGAAATCAGCCTTTAGGACACAGTCACCTTTGACTCCCTCGTGGATGAGCATGGTGGGTTTGGGAGGAAGCCACGGTTGAGAGAGATTTTCTTAGAAAGGGAGCATGGCAGACACACTCCCTCCGCCTCATTAGCTGTGACCGTGCCAGGAGCAGGGTGCCCTGGGCGGAGGCCCCATGTGGGCGGGCAGTGCAGCGGATGGATGCACTCGTTATGTCCACTCCACGTTTGTCCTTGTCACAGTGCAAATGGTGGGAGACTGTCCCCACCGGAGCACAGCTTTCCTGGCAAGTGGAGTCGGACTCCGGGAGCAGAACTGCAGACATACGGCGCAGGAACGAGAGCTGTGTTCCTGCCTGGGTCTGAGTCCAGGCACTATTTATATGCAGCATATTCAGCACCAGATTGTTCAATCTTAATACTGAAACAGTGCATCATTTTAATATTTTTGTTCTGTTTATTCCCTGTTTTCAAGCATTATGCGAACACTGCGCATTCACTGATTTTGCCTTGGGCAGGACACGCCGGCCGCACAGGGCCTCTCCCCGGTGTGCAGTTTCGCCCCCGGCTGTGGGCAGCACTGCGTGGAGCCCCTGAAAGCAGGGCAGACAGGTGTCTCGTCTCTTCTGAAAGGCTGAGAGACAGTGTGAAGAGCAGCGTCGTTACACCCACCTGTATCGTCAAAAATAAAAATGCTCTTTTCTTTTAACGTGACGTTTTGTGATGCCCTGGGGACTTCCGGGGCTTGCGTAGCATGGAGAAAAAAGCCTCGCTCCTCTGTGCGCAGGCTGCTCCGCGTGCCCCGCGCCCTGTGGTGAGGCCCAGCCTGCGAATGCCGCCGCGTGCTCGTGCGTGTGCAAGGCCTCCTCCCAGGGCCGCCGTGAGCAGAGTGCACCTGGCCTCGCTGCTCCGTGAGCCTGAGTTTGACCTGCCCTCTCTCCAGCCCTGCTCTCGAGAGCTCAGCCAGGGAGGAGGTGACGTGACTGTTCTGAAAGCCATCCAAGTACAGAACGAGCAAGGGAGTCAGAGACACGCAGTGTCTTCTCACTGGGGTCCGTGCGCTCCTGCCTGTGGCCCTGAAAGCAGCCCCTAGGGCTGGGAAGGCGGGGTTCGTGGTGGACACAGGGGCCCCGTGCCCGGAAGCTCACCTCAGGCAGAGGGGGACCTTGTGCTGAGCCCACATACACGGATTTTCTTGTTCAATTCAAAACTGAATCTCGTATTTACTTGAAGCTTTTTTTTTTGTCTATGAAATCAGCAGTCCTGTATATTTAGAATCAGCCTTAACTTAGACTGTGAAACAAGCGTTTGGGGGAAGGAAGTGTCCGTATGGTTTCCTCAGTAATTTAAGAAACAGGAAAACATAAAAGAACCGATTGTCCATGATTCCGCCTCATCCTTCTTGTCCCGCTGCATCGAGCTGGCTGCCTGGTGTCACCCGACAGGACGCACTTGCTGCCCTGTCATAGGGCTGTGGGCCGGCCTGGAGTACTGGTGGGATGACCTTCTCAACAGTGGGAAGGGTTCATAAATAGTAACTCCATGTTTGTGGTGTTTTCCTTCCCTGTGCAGGAATAATCAAGCTGGGGCGGTGGAACCCCCTGCCCCTCAGTTACGTGACAGACGCGCCCGATGCCACCGTGGCCGACATGCTGCAAGATGTCTATCACGTCGTGACTTTGAAAATCCAGTTACAGAGGTGGGCCTTTCCGAGCGTCTGCCTCCCTTCCTCCCCAAGTGCCCGCGATCAGGCTTGCTGCAGAGATCGGCGTGTGCGTCTCTGTTACTTTGCATACCTTGATGACGGGGTGGGGGCAGGAGGCTCACAGGCACCTGGTGACCCACATTCCAGCAGTTTATGCTGTTTTCAGAGCAGTGAACTCACTGTCTCAGGCAGCTGGCTGTAGTTACAGCTTGGGGTGCCGGGGGGAGCTTCCCGCTGCCCACCAGTGGTCCAGGAAGCCAGTGAAAGCTGCCAGCACGTGGAGGACGAGCTCCTCGAGGCCTGCAGCCCTAGGCTGTGGCTCTGGGTCGTGTTGGCTGTGGCTGGCTCCTGGAGCAGGTCCACCAAGAAGGTCCTGGCCTGGGGGTTTACCCTCCCTCTCTGGTGGTGGCTGATGCCGTGAGATGCATGCTGAGGGGCAGAGGTACTAGAACTGGTGGCTTTCCTGAGAGGATGGACAGAATGGGTGCAGAAGAGAGGCTCACGGTTCCTGTCACATTTTACTATGAAGTCATGAGGGAAGGGCCATTGACCTTCCTTGTGAGAGCTTCTGAATTCTCTCCCCTGGGACCATTATCCTGTGCTAGGGACCCCGTAGCCCTGTCCTTATTTGGAAACACTAGCTCTGTTGGGAATTGTGAGTGGAAGGCAGCCCTTCTGACTTCTCACACATGGGACACATTTTGACGTCTAGCTTTGGGGACACCTAGGAGCTGAATCCGAATCGGGAGAGTTTAGGGTCATACCGCCCGGCCATGTCCACCTGTTCTTCAGAAAAGTCCTTTTGTTGGAAACAGCGTTTCTTCCTTTCCAGAGTTCCAACGTTTCCTAGGCCAGTGTGGCATGCCAGCTTCAGGGCCTGTCACTTGTACTGAAAGTTCTGCCCCTCCCTAGGCCCGATAGGGCTCAGGGCCTGGGCAGGAAGTCACCAAACTTGCTGGGCGGTCCTTATCACTGTCGCTCTGTTTCGCAGCTGTTCCAAGCTGGAAGACGTGCCGGCGGAGCAGTGGAACCACGCCACCGTGCGCAACGCCTTAAAGGAGCTGCTCAAAGAGATGAACCAGAGCACACTAGCCAAAGAATGCCCTCTCTCCCAGGTTGGTGTGGGCCAGGGAGGCTGCCACAGGCAGGCGGGCAGTGGGCGGGCAGGGCTTCCATCGGACTGCGGCCTGGCCTGTCTGCTGCTCCTGGAGACACAGCAGCTGCGGAGGAGCAGCGACTGCTCGCTTGGGCCCAGAAGTGCCCCGCCCACAAGGCCACCTTCCCGCCCGCGCGCCTGGCGGTCAACAGCCTCAGGGTACGCGGGAAGCTGGGTGCAGAGAAGACGTGGTTCTCAGGCTGCGCCACTGGTGCATGCTGGGTGCAGAGGCCTGCCCTCGTCCTCTAGGCCTCGCCCCACACCTCTTCATTTCTTCATCCAGCCCATGTCAGGGCAGCTCTGAGTTGCCTTTGAAGGCTGTCATGACCCCTCCCTGGCTAGGTGGAGCGATATGATCTTTCCATTCTGTGGCACATCTTGGAGGTATTGTAGAAATTGTTCCCAGGAAGGCGGCCTGGGAGCAAAGGGGTAGTTTGCTTGAGCAGGCCCTGCTGGTGGTAGGCGAGGGAGAGGAAGGGAGCCAGGTTGCAGTAGGCTGCCCTCTGCACACTGCCCTGTGTGGTGGGTGCCTGTGCTCCTGATGCCAGAGCAGCATGAGGCTGGGCTGTGTGGAGGGAGGCAGGTGGGTCAGCATGGCCTCGGGCCAGGTGCTGACCAGATCCAGGTTGTCCTGCAGCTGGGTGTTCATTTTTTACTTCATCTTTTAGAACATAGTACAGTGTAGACACCTCTCCCCCATGTCCTCTGCCTTTGCGAGCCACTGTGCCCACCACCTTGCCCGTAGGACACACCGGCTGCCCATACCACGGATGGGCACATGTGTCCCTGGGATGGCCTTTCCTTTGCTCCTGCCACAAGTGAGGTAGCCGGCTTCCTGTGCATGTCTGCTCTTCCTTGAGGGTGTGTTTGACACTGAAGGCCTGCTTTGATATGGATGATGGGGGTTTGGGTCTGACCCCATGCCATGAGCAGAGCCCCCCGAGTCCATGGCCAGTTCCTGGGCTTCTGCAGTGGTGTGGCTGAGGGGTGATCACCCAGAGTCTCGTGCACCCAAGACCCACACTTCCCGGCTTCAGGGAAGGAGCTCGTGCTCTTTGTGGTCAGACACGTGTGCCACGCAGGGAGGGCCCCGTGGCGCCCTCTGGGCGTGTGCCGGGAGTGATCTGTGAGTGTCATTAGTTCTGCTCACAGTGCTGCAGCCTTGTGCCTACATTGCTTTCCAAGATATTGTAGTCACCTGGGGGAGGAAGGCACGCAACCTGTAAGTGCCCACGCGTGTGCAGCGTAGAGATGTGTTTTTGAACCACCCAGCCCTGCACTTCCAGCTGAGGCTCTGCTGCCGAGCACATGAAGAAGCAGGGATAGCGTCGCTGCGCGGAGGTGCCCCTGGCTCCTGGGCGTCCTGTGTGCAGTCCCTTGTAGGAGACAGAACTGAGGGCGATTACTTCTGCTGTCCTAAGCAACCTTCCCTTGGGGACAGTTGTAGGACTTCTGTGTCCAGTGTGGCAGATGCCTGGACTGTCACCCAAGCAGCTGGGGGGCATGTCCATCCGTGTGGCCCAGCCATGCACTGGCCACCACCGCCAGGTGGCCCTGTAGTCCCATCCCACGTGCCCTCTGGGTGAGGGGCCCTCAGCAGCTTATCTCCTGGCCTGTGAGATTACTTCTTTTTCTTTTTTTTGTACTTAGGACAGGGTCTACAGGGTCTCACTATGTAGAGGACTTCTAGTGATCCTTCTGTTTACAGCCTCCCAAGTGCCAGGATTCCAGGCGCGCACCACCACGCCCAGTCTCAGTCACTGTCTCAGTGTACCCCAGGGGCAGGACCAACACAGCAGGCCCAGGGAGCGAACCCCCGGCCCCGTGTCTGCCTAAAGAGATGACTTCTTTCACTTTAATTTTGTCGGTCCACGCTGGCGGCGCCTGCCATGCCGTCGGTGGGAGCTGATGCACCCAGAGTGCATCTCCTCCTCCTTGCACTGCTTGCCTCCCCCTGCCCTCTGTCCCTCGGTCCCTCCCCTGCTGGGGAAGCTCGACCTCCGTGTGCACTGTCATCTGTCTGCCATTCTGCTCTCCAGTCTGTTTGCACCTCGGGTCGTCTGTTGCTGGCTTCCCGTGCGAGCAGCCACGCGTGTGTCTGGTCTCCTTGCTCACCGTCTTCCTGCAGGGGCCTCCAGCCTGCCCTTCTCGGGCAGAGTCTGGTCCATGCTGTGTGTACACTGCATTTCTTTACCCATCTGGCTGTGGGTGGACGGACAGGCCACATCCAAGATGCAGCTGTTGTGAGTTGTGTTGGCGTAGCGTGACGTCACAATGATGCCTTGGCGGCTGCATGGTGAGAGCTGGGCTGCAGCAGCTTGGGGAGCTCCTGTGCGTGGCCTGAGGAGGCGCCCGTCTTCCACTTGGAAAGGCAGACGTGGTGGCACCGATGGGGGGGGCAGGGCTCGGGGAAGGCTGTGCCGCGGCATTCAGTGAGTGCTCGCGAAGAAGCTCTCTCGGCCAGCTTCTCCGTCCTCGACCTCGCTGAAGCGCTGTTAGGGTGTCCCGCTGGTCGCTCTTCGTAATGCATGCTGAGCGGTGGAGGAGCACACGGTGCAGGCACTGCCCACTGCAGTCTGCCCCATGCTCTCCCCAAGCCAGAGCGCAGAGGGTGGCCAGAGGGTGCCCGCTCCCCAGCCGTCACCGCGGAGCTCACGAGGCTGTGGCAGGAGGGTTGCAGGTGCAAGGCCAGCCTGGGCTGCACTGCGAGGGCAAGGCCGGCTGCGCAATTGTGCAGAGACCCGGCCTTACAAAAACGAGGAAGCGCTCTCCGTGGTGTGAAGTGCTCCTTCCAGGCTGGCGTCTCGGATCCTGCTGTGTAACCAGGCTGCGTCCCACCAGGCTGAGAGGAGGGGGTGCAGGTGCAGGATTTCATAATTTAACCTTCTTTTTTCAGGAAAAGTGGTTCTCAGATCTCTGTCCAAATTGTACAGATCATCTAACCCATGTGCATGATTTGCTCTTCCTATTACATTGTGGATTGCCTTTCGAGTTCTCGGCTTTCTCTGACTCTGAACTCCTAAATAAACCCATAGAAGGGACAAAAGGTTACAGCTGAGTGTGTCGCCTTGTTTCTTGGTGCTGGTGGAGGCCCCTCCTGGTCTCGCGCAGCCGGCACAACAGAGCTCACTCTTCCTCCTCCTGTGGTCGATCTGCCTCTTCCAGGGACCACATCTTCGCAGCCCTACATGGGCCTTGGCTCCTCCCGTGGTGTCTGGAGGGCTCCCTTTCCTGTGGGGCCTCCCAACCCTCTTCATGTACAGCCGTCCTCATAACCATCACGTCTTGCATCTCCTTGGGCTGCTTAAGAATCAAGTGCATTTGTGTCTATCGCAGAAACCTAAAAGAAAATTTAATTTTAGATAAAGCAGTCTAGCTAAGAGAACTGTAGTCAGGCGGCGCCCACGGCGATCTCTGCAGACAGTGTCCGCCCATGATGTCGTCACAGCTCTGAATCAAAGCAGGAAGTGCCGTGAGACGGACACGCAGCTTGGGCCTGTTCATTCCTTCTCTTCTCGGGTCTCAGATGACGCAGGCACGGTGGCCTTGTGCAGGCTCTGATGCTGTGTCCCTGGGCCCCAGGAAGGATCCAGCTCACAGCATCACGTGGTGGTGCTGCGGTCCACGCAGCTGTGTCCGCAGTGGTGCGCCCCTGTCCTCTCGCTGTCTGGCTGTTGGCAGATTCCACCAGCCCGTAACCGATTCGGGTAGATTTGACTCCTCAAATACCTTGTTTTTAAAAGTGCACTTTCATATATATGGTGAATTATGTGCCCGATCAGACACTTTTCACCACACCCTCTGCCCAGAATCTTTCTGTTTAAAGTCTCACAGAGAAGTCTGAACTTCTTCAAAGATCTCTGCAGTTGGAAAGAGGATGGCCTTCTTTTTGCCATCACCGTGCATGGTAGCACTCAGGAAACAGCGGGGGAACAGCCTGTGTTGGCAGCGCTGCAGCCTCACCCAGCGCCTGCTCACCCAGCGCCTGAGCAGCCGCTCGGCTCTGGGCTCTGCCCCCTGCTCCTGCCCCCTGCTCAGCCAGGAGCCTGAGCAGAGCGCTGCGGGCAGCTGATGCAGAACTGCTTCGGCAGCAGGCTCTGGGAGCACAGGGCCTCGCTGAGGTGTCAGGCGCAGCCTCTTTCCCACGCTGTCGACCAGCGCTGTATCCTTGCCAGAACTGCTCAGGAGGCAGCGCGGGGTCAGTTCAGAGTCAGCCCAGGCCTGCTTCCCTGATCACTGGGCTCTGAAAGTCCACCTGTGCAGCTGTTCTAGAATGACTGGAAAAGCTAAAAGGTTGAGGTACACTGCCAGATTATACAAATATTTTATTTTTTTTTAATATTTGGCAGAACCGGGGATTGAACTCAGGCCCTCGCGCTTGCCAAGGAAGCACTTATTCCACTGAGCCGTCTCTCCGGCCCCTATACAAATATTTTTAAATTTAAAAAATTTTATTTATTTGTTTTTTGATACAGTGTCTCACTGCATAGTTTGGACTTGCAGCGATCCTCCTGTCTCAGCCTCCCCAGCGCTGGGATCACAGGCGTGCACCACCGTACTCAGTTTCAGGGCTGGCATTCCAGGACTGGCACAGCAAGCAATACTGGGGATTGAACCCGCGTCTTTGTGTTTGCCAGGCAGGCGCTTATGCTACTGAGCTATCTCCCCAGCCCCCTACTATAGGTATTGTAAAAGGAATTAGCTTTGTGTTTGACAGGGTGGTAGGCAGGAAAGGTTTTATCACCGCACCTCCTGGACGGGGTCTGTATCTGGTCTGAGGTGCAGGCACCCAGGCAGGATGCAGTCAGCATGGGCTCTTGCCTGTGCGGCCCCTGTGCCTTTGGGTTCACCCATAGATCCACAAGAAGAAGCCAAGGCTGATGCCAACTGTAAGTGGCATCTGTGCAGCAGTAAGGGCGTTAAGCAGTAAGTCCCGGCGTGACGTGGGCCGGGCTCGGGACCCTGGAGGACAGTGTTCCCAGAGCCCCGGAAGTCCGCGTCTGCTGGTCTGTGCAGCCCCTCTCGGCATTGCAGCTCATATGCTTAGGCTTTGATGTTCTAGACACATTAGCGGGCACTCCCATGAGGAAGCTGCGTGCTGTGTCCTGAGGGCCCGCAGCATCTCAGAAAAGCCTAGTGCTCTGCCTCAGAAGCCTGCAGCGTCGTGTGCAAGAGAGCTCACTTCTGGAAGTAGGACAGCGCAGCATCATGCACCCTTCTACGGAGATGTCCCAGGATGCACCTCTTCTCTTCCAAGCCCGAGCCCTCAGTGAAGAGCCGGAGTGGGCATCTGCATGTGTGTGCCTGCGGGGGACTCACATGAATCAGAGCTGCGTGAGCTGGGCACTGGTCTCAACCTGCACCTCAATCCCTGTGCTCGGCTCAGAGCCGGACTCTGTGTTGTTTCCTCCGAAACCTGTAGGGTTAACTTAAGGATAATGTGCTTGAGGCAGGGCCCCAAGGTTCTCGGTGGCCCTGCATAGTGCCAGTGAGCCCCCTGAGGAAGATATGGGTTCCCTGGGATCAGTGTGGTGCAGCTTGGGGCGTGGGCGCTCATGCATTCGTGCGTGTCCACATCCTGTGGCTTTCAGGAGTAGAGCAGAGCGAGGCCAACGTGGCAGTGCCATTCGCAGTGCGTGCGCCTGTTAGTGTTTTCTGCCGGGACATCATATGTGCTATTGAAATGCCCTTCTCTCAGACTGGATTTCGGTGATTTAGCCCACATCAGGACTGTGAGAGACCCTGTGGAGAGCTGTAGGGGACGCCTGGCCACTGAGCTCTGGGACAAGAGGGCTGGCCAGGCAGGGCAGCACCCTCCAGAGCCGGGGTAGGAGTGCCGTGCAGGCTCACAGTGTCCCTGGAGGGACGCCGGCTCTTTCAGTTCCTAGTGCTGCGTCCAGACCCCAGGACACAGGTTCTCCTGCTTCTGTCCCTTAGAGAAAAGGCATCATGTAGACACAGCAGCTGAGGGGCAGCCATCTGCTGTGGAGACGAGGCCAGAGGGGTCCCTGTGGTGATGCAGGGGCCTGCCCCTCTCCCCGTGTCCTGATTAAACGGAGCTGAGTCTGGCGTTTCCGATGGGATCTACTAAGGCCTGTCTGTCTGCAGGCATTTGAACCTCCTGGTAAATAAGTTGCCATCGACTTGATTTATTGTTATTCTTTTTATCTCTGCTACTTTGCAGAAATGTTTTTGGAAGTTCCAAGACTCCTCTGAAGTGCTCGGTGTCTGGGGTTAGCATTTTTGAGACAGATGAGATTTCAAGGCAAGATATGAAACCGGGTGCTGTTCGTGTGAGCCCCTAGAGTCGTGTAGGTTCATTGGCTTTTAAACGAAATCTGCAGAAGTGCTCTCTGGGTGTGAAATGCACACAGGCAATGGCACAGTCGGCTCAGGAGGGAGTGCACGTCTCCCCCGTGTGGACCCAGGCAGGCGGTGTGGACGGTGCGTGGGTTGTAGCGGGCCTTTCGTGCAGGCCGTGCGACTGTAATTTGATTTTCAGGCCTGAGTTGTGTTATGCTTTCCTTCCTGTCTCCAGTCCAGACAGATCGGGGGCCAGGAGAGTGCGGATGAGGAAGGGTCTCGGTCCTGGGCCTGGAGAGCTTTAGCTGCAATGAGTGTGGGGGGACTGTGCGAGCTGAGGTTTAGTTTCCCTGAGCTAAAATAGCACTGTTAATTTTTCATTTGGTGAATTTTCACACAAGTGCTAATCACACGTTTCTATAAATGATATTAGTTTAACTTATTTCCCTAAACGTTGTTCTGCAGCATGTAGCACGGATGTTCTCGGATTCTTGGCTGCCTCGAGCCCTGCAGTTGGATGCGGAACAGAACATCTGACAGGCGCTGGGGGGTGCTGGGTCCGGCCCGCTCACCTGCCTGGCTCGGGTCGGCGCGGCTTCTCCTGCCTTGTGCTCGGCGGCTGCCTCCCTCCGCACGCTGGCACTGGCCCAGGCCGGCTCTGGAGGAAGCGCTGTCCTTGTTCAGTGCCGGCCTCGGAGCATGAGGGCAGGCCACCATGGCTGGCGCTGGCGCAGGTGGCCAAGCTTACCAGACAGTGACTGCTTCAAGTGGAAGGAGGCCGGAGGTGGGCGAGGGCTGTGACGCGCTGTTCCGGGCCCCAGGAAAGGGGCTCGTATATTTGAAACATAACCGAATTTTTCTCTTCTTTTCAGAGTATGATTTCATCCATTGTAAATAGCACATATTATGCCAATGTGTCAGCAACCAAGTGCCAGGAGTTTGGGAGATGGTATAAAAAATATAAGAAGATTAAAGGTAAAATGACTTCTTTGTCTTTAAAACCTATTTTTTTTTAAGGTCAATTGAGTTGTTGGTTGTTTGTAATACTTGCTAACTTCAGATATCGCTCATCTGTGTTATATTACAAAAGAATCTTAATATTTCTGTCAAGAGATGCAAATTGGCTCCCTTAAAACTGAGATGGTATTAGAACTAAAAGTAACATTCTTAGCATAATTTATCAAGTTTGTAGCTTCCCCAGTGATACTTGTGAAGACCAAAATCCTTTAGAAACCGAAAAGCAGTTATTCTAGGCTACATCAGCGCCTAGGTTTGACTACTGATGAACGAGTTGGACCGTTTTGCCTCAGCGCCCGGAAGTCTGGTTGGAAGCAGGCTGGAGACTGTTTATGTGAGAGATGGGGGGGTCAGAGGACGGGTGAGGGGGGGCCCTGCACCCGGGCAGGCTTGTCTGTTTCCACGCGCCAGTGCCCGGAACTTGAGCAAGTTCCTTCATTTTACCAGGAGTCAGTCTCCCCATTGGAAAATGGGGAGAAATACAAGTATCTAGGTCTTGGGCTAACATGAAGACTCGGTGAGATAATATCAGAGTGGAATAACCTCTTAATAAACAATAGGCATAATGCTGTAATAGTAACAGCTGGTTAATCTGAGGAGGACCAGGAGAGATGTGTTTATCCGTGGTCTTAGTTGACCCAGTCCATAAGCACATTAGTGACGTGGACCAGTCCTCCTTTTGCATGTTGGGGTCATGGTTTGTCACACGCTACTACAGGTGCTTATGACCTCTTGGACAGTCCCTACCCCTCTAAAGCCAGGACTTTCGAGGGAGAAGGACGCAGGTTTCCAGGCCAGGGTGCCACCCTTACATGCTGGGCAGCGGGGTGCATGGGAGCCTGTTCACAAGGTCACCTTCCGAGGACGTGCACGTCCCGTGCATTGGCATCAGTGTTCCGAAGATAAAGGAGTAGGCATGTTTTATGCTGAGTGCAGCTTCGTAAGAAGAGCAGAGTGCTGAGCTGCCCGGGGGAAGTTACATGCACTGAAAACTGGGTGAAGATCTGTTCTGTGAGGGTGTTCTAAACCCTCCCTGCTCTGCCAGTTGTGGTCTGGCATATTCGTGCTCACCTTAGGCTCGGAAGGACTGGCACCACGGCATGGTTGCGGGCGCAGGGTGCCTTTTCTATGACACTGCCTCCAAGCTTTTATGTTAAAATATGACTGGAAGAATCAAGCAGCCCAAGATCATGTGTTAGGATTTACTTGTTGCGCTGAGCAGGAGGAGGAGGATGTCGTCTTGTAACGTAGTTCCAGACTCAGAGAAGAAGACCCTCCACTCGAGGCCTTTCAGAATTGCCGCAGGGAGTGTGTGTGTGCGTGTATGTGTGTTCACACGTGTGTGCTCTTTAATGCTTGTCTTCTGCTCTGCTTACTTAGAGATTCAGTGCTTCAAGCTCTGGTTTTCTCAAGATAGTAAATGCACAGTTAAACCTTTATGTGCCATAAAAGCAGACTGGGCCCTGGGCTTCCTCCCGGAGGTCAAGGACCCATGCTGAAGAGGCTGCCAGTTGCTGTGCACGTGGCGTTTGTGTGGGGCTCACCCCTGCACTGGAGCGTGTCTGTATGCATGCACGCGTGCGCATCAGTGGGATGACGGGAGGGAAGGTTAAGGTCTGTGTGAAGTGAACACAAGCTGCCATGAAACAGCTCAAGTGGTGCTGATTCATCAGCCCAGGGAGAGGGAGGAGAACAAAGCCGCGGCAGGTAATGGGCGCTCAGGAATCGCACCGAGAAGTGCGCCGCCTTAGCTTTTGACTCTGTAGGAGAGGGCCTGCAGGGCCCAGAGAAGCGCACTTCCTGGGAGCTTCTGGTCCTGTCTGCCGGTGCCCGTTTCTCATGGGAAAGTCACGGCTTGGTTTGTAAGACCTGGGTCCCTCCGTTTTCCAAGAGAACCCCTGGAGCACTGAGCCTCCGCTACGGGCCTCGGCTGGGCTCTTCTGGACTTCTCCAGGGCTCTTCCCCAGGGCCGGGAGTCGTGTTCTTGGGCAGTCTCTGCTCTGTCTCCCACCCAGTTTCCGGTTTGCATCTGGGGGGCTGACGCTCCTTGTGGACCTGAGGCCTGGCTCGCTGCTCTGCTCCAGTAACTGCGGGCTGCATTGTTCAATATGTTTCTTATTATCTGCTAATGTCTGTTTTAATAAAACAGTGGGAACTAAATGGTTGCTTCTTAATCAAAACCATGATTTTCTAAACATAAGCTATGTGATTCTGTTACAAATTGCCACATATAGATCTCTTAGGTCAAATTTTTTCTTTTCTCATAGAAATAAGTAAACAGTAAAATAATTATATACTCTGAAAGATCAAAGTATATATGACTCAAACCTGGCAAAAGTAAAAGTCTACTGGAAGGATTAAAAAAAAAGATCAGATTGCAAATTCTATAGTTAATGCTTAAATAAATATGAGAAAAATGAACAATCAATAATTTGATATCATTAAAAACAGATGTAAAAACTGTATACAAATGGAATTGTCTAAATTTTGAAGTAAACATTTTAATGTGCATTTTTTGAATTTGTTGTTATTATAGCTAAACTATTTACACTTATTCTTTAAAGAGTCCTAAATCGGTTTGGCTTACCATGCTAACTTTATTTTCCTCAGTGATCACAGCAAAGCACGTTCTGTTTACCTTTTTTTCTTTAATTTCAAAGACAATCAAGGTTGACACAGACATATTTGAGTTAACGCTGGCGCTGCTTCAGGACGGACGAGGAGGCGCAGTTTGCGTGTTCTGGTTTCGAGGTCCGAGCCCCTGAACCTGCTTCCCAGAAGCTTTGGCGCCCAAGGCGCCAGAGTGCGTGGACAGCGGCTCAGTGTAGGGAGCCTTCGCATTGTTTTTTAAATTGCTGCACGCCTCGTGGTGTCCATTGCTTTGGGCCTGGATGCTAACATGTAGAGATGCGTGGTCTGCCAAGTGGGAAGAGGACAAGGTGCGTCTGTAGTCGCTGTGCTTAGGCGTTTCGGTGTCAGAGACACGGGACTGCTAGGAGCAGCCACGCTACTGCAGGATTGGTTTTGAGGCGTAGCTCGAGGCAGCTTTGCTCCACTGGCCCTCCTGCCATCAGGTCCACACATTTCCACACAGCGCTTGTCTGCTTGCACCCGCAGCTCCTTCCCGGAGTGCTGGTGTGAGCACGCCCCGTTCTCGTGACACCATGGGCACGCGTGTGGGCACCTCGCCCAGCACTCTGGGCCAGCCTGCACCTCGATGGCGGAGGCATGGGGCAGGGTGCGGCAGAGCAGGCTCACATGCCTTACGGGCGCCTTCACGAGCAATTTTAAAAGAATACTTTGAATCTGAAATATTTCCAATTAATTTTTTTTTCTTTTCTTTCTTTTTTTTTTAACCAAAGAGTAGTGATTTATCATTTTTAGTGGCGTTAACCTATGTCTCAAGAATTAAAAAGGTTGTTCAGAGTTCACCTGAATCTTGGGGACTGCTGTAATTACTTGTGTCATCCATACTGCTGCTGGGACCAG